TATCTTGAGCTGGTTTTGCTTTAAAATATTTTAATGGGAACATTAGCTTACTCTTAGCATTTTTTAAGCTTGGCTTTTCGTTTTAAATTGTCATCTTTCATGTATTTTCTTGTTTTCTCAAGGCAGATGCTAGCACGTGTCTAATTCTGTTGCTTGTCATAAATTTACAAATGTCTGTTCTCCTCTCAGTGCAGTCATTCTCTGCGTTTTACGTTATGAGATATACTCGTGGATCAGGGCATGTTTTTGCCCGTCACTTATTTTTGCTTGACCCTAAAAGTGTCTCAGGGCCTGACATTGGCCCAAGATCAGTGTCCAGAGATTCTGCTTAGATCTATACTCACCTTGCCTGACTGCTTTTAAAATCTTCTTCTCATATCTTAAACTAGAAGGAAGATTTTTTAAGGTAAATTTATGTCACATATTGGAGTCACATAAGCTTAGATAAAGTACAGAGGAATCGGTGCCTAGTGGGGGAAATTTATCAGTATCCAGTTTCTTCTCTGTTTGGTGAAACCAGAATTCAGAGCCAGCTTTCTGGGTCTAATTTTGTGTGGCCCATTGTCCATTTTAGGTCTATACTGTGGCTCTTCCTAATCTGCCCCATTCTGCTGCTTCCTTTGTGCCTGGGATAAACCATCCCTCCCCTCTAACCATCAGATCTTCATGTCACTGCTGCTTCTCAAGAAGAGTGCTCTGCTTGCTCCTCCCAGCCCTAGCCCTCTAGGATCAAGAACATTAGTGGAATTTTCCCATGTCTTCATTTTCTTTGAAAGGGAATTGAGGATAAACTCTTAGTATTCTCTTTCCATTTTTCCCACCCCCTTATTCTCTATGTAGCAGAAATTCTTCAGAGTCTGAGGCATGTAGATGATACCTTTCTGTAGTTTTCACTGCTGATGCAGGATTTTCATGATATATTTCTTTGCTTTTTACTGTTGGGATTTGGAGATAAAGATGCTTGTGTTCAAAATTGCCATCTTACCCTGTTTGTTTTTATTGTTGTCGATATACTTATATTGAAAGTCAAAGGTAAAATGCAGAAGACACTGTTTGACACCTCAGAGACAGGATACTTACTAATTTATCTCACTCTAGAGCAACAAACTTCTTTTAGATTTGTTTCATGCATAATAATAAGAAGTATTTTGAGAAAATTACATTCCAGGTAAGGACATAGAATGAGCAAAGGCACAGAGGCAGGACATAAAAGGAACAGAACTTCAGGTGGCCAGGCTAATAGTCTGAAAGCTAGGTGGGTGGAGGGGAGTCATAGGAAATAAGTCTGTATAGGACCAGGAAAGGCCTGGAGCTGGCCTTCACTCACTTGTTCAGGAAAGAGCCCCTGGCAGTTGTAAGTACGTGATTGACATGACTGGTGTTCTTTACAAATATTAGTCTGCCAATTGTGAAGGTAGCAGTGGTGTAAGGTGACATTTCCCAAATGTAGTTAACCTTTGAGTACCTTAAAAATCCTCATGTACAAGAGCTCGCACATGCCTGGATCAAAATAGACAGCAACACAAAGTCGTGTCCCATATGATGAGGTAAGTGCTATAGAAAACCAACAACATTTGAAGACTGTTCTGTAACCAAAGAAGGAAATCCGTGAATTAGAGAGGTGGAGGTAACATTTTAAAAATAAAAGCTAATTATAGATATATATGTATATGTGTGTTTAAATTATAACGAAAGCTATATAAGGTAGACTAGCAGGCAGTCAGTAGATGACGTGGTCCTTAGGAAATACATCTCCTGCCCTGTGTTCATGCGTCAAGTGACCTCACCTACAACTGTCATTCTCAGGTATGGGTTCCCACTTGCTAGGAGCAGATGATTGCATAAAAATAGGAGCAATGCAATAAATATTGGTATTATTTTTCCTTAAATGTATGTTGAATAAATTTTAAGAAGAAATACCATCAGCATTATTTTTTTAGGACCCTTGTATACCTGTCACAGGACAACCATGTATTATGGAAAATTTGAGAAAGGCATGGCCATACAGAGCTGGATTTGCATCCCAAATTCACCGTTCACAAGCCATGTCATTGTCAAACTTTTCATCTAAAATAAAGGATAATAACTTACAGAGTTTTTCTGGAAAATTCAGTTAGATGATGTTTATGAGAAACACGATACAGTGGCAGGCGTAGACAGTGGAGTTACATCATCCACATACTTATTAGTATCATAGTTTTACATGGCTGGGAGTGGATGGAAAACATGCCTTGTTTTTGTGGTTGTTTTAAACATGGCCCCTAAACATGAGGCAGCTATTTCATCTGAGATGCCCCTCGAGAGAGAGCAAACTGGTAAATGCTGTAGAGAAACCGAATGCATTAGGCTTATTGGAAGGTGGTATGTTTGTATAGAGTTGTATTTACAAACCATGCTGTGTTTTTGGGTTATTTGAGGGATTTTCAAGGCTCATTTGACTATATGTATGATTTTTATTTTACAAATTGACCTTAGAATCTAATATCTGTCTTGGGAGACAGTAGCTGGCCTTGAACAGATGTTTAACCCAAGAGTGGTACCATGCAGTTTTCCCTTCATTTAGTGAATTTGCTGCAGTACACCTGGCTATATGCTTTAATAGTCTTAATATGCTTTATAGAATACAGAGTTCTTATTCTTCCTTGGAACAGGGGAAATGTAATACTTCCTTTTTTGCTAGGGTTGTTCCTGGTTAATCCCAAAGAATTCTAAGACAGGCTAGTATAAGGAATTTCAAGCCTATTTACGATTAAAGTACTAATAAAACCAGTACTGTTCTTAGTAACTGTTTTCTTTGGTTCTTCAGTTCAGACTTTATTTTGTGAATCCCTGCACGTGCGTGTGTGCGCGCGTGCGCACGCACACACACACACACACACACACACACACAGAGTTGTATAACACGGTGAGTGTTTAGTGCAACAGCTTCCCCACTCAAACAACTTGCAGGGTTTTCTCGTACTGACTCTTATTGTTCTAGCCAGCCAGACTGATCGTTTGAAATACGGTCTGTGGACATCTGAAGGCAGGAGTGCCGGGAATGGGTCCTTGAACCCCTGCTCTTTCCTTGTGGAGTCTAAATGAGTCTTCCTAATTATCATTTGACATGTTGAATCACAGAGAAACTTAGACAACTGAAGGGAATACCTTAGCGGAATGTAGGATTCTCCGTTTTATTCTTATTAAATCATCAAGGAATGAAATGGAAATGAATTTTTAAAAATGATCTTCCTTTCAGGGGTGCCCTGAGTCTCTACAAGGCCCTTTGGTAGCAAGTCATTTAAATGGACTGGTAAGAAGGTGCTTCACTTTGTTTCTGACCTCCTGAGAATGGCTGGGACAGAAGTAGATTTTCTTTCTCTGCTTGTACCTACCCTGACTTTATTCTTTTTCTGCTTATTTACCACCTGATTTTAGACTGTGTAACACAATGGGGAAAATACAAAAATCAACCCCATTCAATTAAAAAACAATTTTTAAACCCATCCCCCTACCAGTTTCTGAAATGCCTGATACTGTCTTCCAAAGAAGTCATCAGTTTACTGATTTTTTTTTTTTTTCACTCGAAAGAAGGGCCTGTGGAGACAATAGTGTAGTGCAATGTGATTTCAGTGTTTTAAGTTCTGGTTCACTTAAATTTGTTCTATTCACGTTGATTACAGAGCAACAGAAGAAAGCTTTGAGAATTAAGGACAAGTAAATTCAACTGCAGAAGCTTATAAGTAGCTAGATTGATTTCAAAAAGATCAGTAAATAAATATTTTAAACTTCCGCTGACCTTATTAAAACATATGCCAGAACTATTCTGTTTAAGCCATTCTCATAAGTTAGTCATCTTCTTGCAAAACAGCTGTGGCAATTTGATATAATAAAAAGAGCAGTAATTTAGAAATCAGAAGATTGAGAGATCTTGTCTTGGCTCATTCACAGGGAGATTAAATGACATGCTAAAGTCCCCCAGATGAGGAAGCCATGCTTGAGAGAATTGAATCAGATGATCTGTCTTTAAAAGACGCTTCTATGAGTCTGTGCTGGAATTTAGAAACCACAGTAAGAACTTAACCAGGGAAGTTTGGGTGAGAGTAGGAGCTTCGCCTCATGCAGAATTGCAGTGTTATTCTAGAGTACTCTCAACTATTCTCACTCTTGGAGGGTAAGCAGTGAATGAAGCAGGATTCTGTTGTACATAATGGATTGCAGTCTAGCTGGTTTAGCAGAAAGGTATTAAATGGCTTGCAGGATTGTTGAGAGGGTGAAGAAACAGACTCCAGGCTGAGCTTCCAGGAACAACTCCCAAAGTCCCAACACAGAGCTGGGCTACCAGGGGAGCTGCTGCCTCTGCCGTGAACGGGAGCCCTAAAGTCAGGAGGCTGCCTGCCCAGTTGGAAAGCTACCACCACAGTTACCAACAGCGGAAGCATCCTGCCTCTGCTACAGTCTGTCTCAACACAGTGGACACCCTGTGCCCTGCCTCTCTCCCCTAGTTGGTCTCACGCCAAGTCTTGCCCACGTCCTGATTGATGGAACCCGTCCTGATTGATGGAACCCAAATCACATCTGAAATCTTAGGTGCAAGGAAGTCCTGAGATGTCATCCTTCCACCCTCTGTGTGCCATGTAGGGGTGGAATACACATTGACAAGCCAGTGCACTGTATCCACCATTGACAGTAAGCCAAATATTCATAAGTGACATTTGTATTGTTTTTTTACAGTTTGCAGAGTAGACTCATGTCCATTTTATTTAGCGCTAACGTCAAATCACTCTACATATAAAAATACTATTTCTGGCCATTTCCAAGAAAACATCTCTGATAAAAATCAAGAACAGTTACTACCTTATTTCCTAAAGATGCGAAGCTGATGCAGAAAACAGGATTTTAAATTTGGGATTCTCCTTCCAGATTTGTTTATTTTCTGCACGGCGGTTGTTTCCATCTATGTCTTTTCCCCATGGAAGCATCCTCCACCTTTTCAACGTGGTGTGCTCTTTACCGTGCAGACCTGTGAATGAAGAGTCAGAGCCCTGCGAGGTCGATGCTCCTGGCCGCTGGCGTGGTGTCTGCGTGGACAGAACACCTCCAACACCTTCGGAGTCTGCTACCACTGTGAAGTCCCTTATCAAGTCGTTTGACTTGGGACGCCCAGGTATTGAATCATTTTGTTTCATAAGCAAAACTCAATTTTAAACCGTGTCCCCATATATCAAACCTGTCTCTACTCCACACTAGCCCCAAGTTGCAGCAACCAGGAGGGCTCTTTGTAGATCGTTCCACATGCAGCCACCGCATAGAGAAGACTTGCTGCAGCCTGGTTCAAGCTCCAACGAGACGACGCTGGGGAGTCTGGCTCGTGTGTGAGTCAGTCTCCTCTGTCTCTCCACCTGTTCCTCACTTTCAATTCCCGCTTTGCCATCTTCCTTTTCTGCCTCTATGTCCATTAAATTCAAGTCACTGCTGTCTGCCTTCTTACGTTCTCATGAGAAGTAGTAGGGTCAACCAGAGGCTTCATCTCCTAGGAAACGAGGCAATGACTCTGCATCCAGCTCTCTGGTTGGTACCTCTGGCCTTCCACATCTCGCAGCATGCTCTTAGACTTTCTCCGCCTGGTCTTGTGTGTGACCAACTGTGCTAATCTGCCATTCTTGATCTTGGTACATTCCTGTCTTTTTCTGGAAATGTCTGGCTGACTCACAAGTCGCCTCTATTCACTGTTACTTATATATATGAGAAAAATGCATATCTGTACTCTACATATATAAATAAACAGAAGAAACCAAATTTACGCCTGTCCAAAATAACAATATATTTCTTCCCTTGACTGCAACAAATATGCCTGTTGTTTTGGAAGACTGGAGTCCTAGCTAAAATGTAGCTGGTTGCCTGCTAAAATAGTTTGCAACTAAATTAGCTTAAGATTAGACTACAAATACGGAAAGATATGAAAGCCCAGTGACTACATTTAGGCTATAAAGATGGGACGTCAGTTAACAATAATGGTTTGTGCAAGAATTTTCCTGTTCCTTCTTGCCTTCGGTGCCTCATTACATATACATTTTCTTTTTCCTCGTGTGTCTTACGTTTAAGACCAACCCCCATTTAGTTAGCTCCTTCCCTCTCATTCCCCAGTTCAGCACTAGTCCAGAGGAGTACAGGCTAAAAGAGGAAATGTGCTACCTTACAAGTGTCATGAGATGTCTCTTTAGTGACCAAAATAGTAACAAATCAGGAACTATGATTTGCTATTTTGAACAGGAACAACATATAGATGTTCCCATCTCTTTTCTCGGCAGGTGGAGCTGGGCAGAATATTTCTGTCCATAAGACCCCTAGAAGTCCCCTAAGTGGAATACCGGTGAGGACTGCGCCAGCCGCTGCCGTCTCTCCAATGCAGGTATGGGAAGAGCCTTGCATGTGTGGGGGTGGTCAGTGCCGCGTGCTATCATGATGGTGTCTTATACCTAAGCAACAAAAGAGGAGTGGAAACCAATTGATTTATCTTTTGAGGCACATTGAACATCGTTTTTAATAAGCCTAAAATAATAATAATGAAATTTTCATTAAAATTACACTTTGGGTGCCTGATAAAGGTCTGAGAGAGACACTGTAAACTTCATAAAATTGGTTAATAGCTCGCTCTTTGTTTTCTACAAGATGACACTTGAAATTTTCAGTTAAAGGCTGTAATCTTTACTAGAAATGGACATTAAACTAGATCTTTTTCTCAAAGAATTGTTTTTGAAAAATGCCCCGGAGAGAGAGAATGTTAACAATTTATAAGTTCTTAGAGTTCACTGAATGCAACCTATGTCACCTGTGATATCTTCTGAAGATTTTAGACCAAAGCTTCTTGGCATTTTCTAAGACCAGGGCTTTTGATGTGATTGATAGCATTCAGCATGCTGCTTGCCAAGCTGAGATTGATGTTGTTATTAACAAGTACCGTTTTTTGGTATCCTTAGTAGCTATGTATATTGTTTGGGATCTTTTAAGGTTTTTTTTCGCTTTTTTGTCCTTGAAGGGGTCTTCCACCACCTTATATGAAAAAGCAAATAAAACTACTATTTATTTTATGATAATCATCAAGTTTAATAAAACTGAAATAGGTCATGCTTCATTTTTACTTATCTTTGTTGAGCTATAAACACTAGTTTGCTGGTAAATGTTTAACAACTGGCTCTGGTAACCCCATTTGGTGGTGTTTGCCAATTTCTGTGCTGTAAATATTCCCATCATTGCCAGTATCCAGCCGTCTGTGTGACGTCAGTGGACGTGGAGTGGAGAAGAGCTGTGCACTGTGTAGTATTTCTACAATACAGACACAGGAGGCGTAGATAACCTCAATAGTAAAATGAGTAAGAAGCAATGAGTTTTGAGTATTTGTTGCTTTTGCTTTTAATTGAGTTTAATTTTACTAACAGCTGTGTTTAACAGCTAGCTTGTAAAATTCCTGATCATTTACCAGCTGGCCCTTATGAGCAGGTAGGCACCAGCTACAGCACACCGCTGGCTGTCATTCGTGTAAAGTGCACAACTCTTTAATATATAATGCAGCTTAAATGTTTCCATATGGATGCACCCATGTAACAAACCCCAAAATAAGCATCTCCATCACCTCAGAAGGCCCCCTCATGCCACCACCAGTCAGTAGCCCCTTAGAAGTAACCAGGATTCTGACCTGTCAGCAGAGATTAGTTTTGTGTAGTCTTGGACTTCATGTAAGTAGAATCATATAATATCTTTTCTTTTGTGACTAGATTGTTTTTCTCAACATTAGATCTGTGAGAGTCACTCATGTTGTTGCAGGAGTTTGTTCTTTTTCATTGCTGTACAGTGTTCCTTTGTGTAAATATACCACAGGTTATCTATTCTACTGATGGTTGACTTTTAGATTATTTCCAATTTTTTACTCTTGTGCTTATTTTAAAAGTATCTGGGGGCCGGCCCAATGGTGCAGCAGTTAAGTTCACACGTTCCACTTTGGTGGCCTGGGGTTTACCAGTTCAGATCCTGGGTGCGGACCTACACACTGCCTGTCAAGCCATGCTGTGGCACGCGTCCCACATAGAAAGTAGAGGAAAATGGGCACGGATGTTAGCTCAGGGCCAGTCTTCCTCAGCAAAAAGAGGAGGATTGGCAGCAGATGTTAGCTCAGGGCTAATCTTCCTCAAAAAAAAATAAATAAAAAATAAAAACTATGTTTTCCCAAAAATTTCAGTGTAAAGGGAAAAAAGTTGAAAATCTCCCTTGCTTCCTAGTCCCAGAAGTAACGTCTCTCTATGGCTTGTTGTGTATCCTTCTAGAAGTTTCTCTTTAGCATAATGTGTGTTTAGGGAGGGTGAGAAAGTTTTATAAATTGGATTGTACTACACATTATTCAGACACTGGCTCGTTTTGCTTTGTCTTTGGAATGTAATCCCTGAGGGTGGGGTTTTTTTTTTTTTTAAAGATTTTATTTTTTTCCTTTTTCTCCCCAATGCCCCCCGGGTACATAGTTGTATATTCTTTGTTGTGGGTCCTTCTAGTTGTGGTATGTGGGACGCTGCCTCAGCGTGGTCTGATGAGCAGTGCCATGTCCGCGCCCAGGATTCGAACCAACGAAACACTGGGCCGCCTGCAGCAGAGCGCACGAACTTAACCACTCGGCCACGGGGCCAGCCCCTGAGGGTGGGGTTTTTATCTATTTTGCTTGCTGTTTTATCTCGTCCAGAACAGTGGCCAGCACATAGTCATATCATAGTAGAAGCTCAGTGCATATTTGTTGAATGAGTGGAGGAGTATATCAGAGGCATCTTTAAATGTCAGTATTTGGAGAAGTAGTTCATTCATTTGAAAGGCTGCGTAGGATGCCGTGACTTACTGAATCAGTCCTTTATTGATGGGAATTTAGGTGGTTTTGGATTAAACTTATTATAAAAACAATGCAGTCAAATTCCTTCTACAAATTTTTGTCCACTTAAGGGACTGTTTCTGTATGAGAGTGTGTCATGATTAATTTGCAGATGTCAGAAATCATTCTAGCTAGTTAAGCAGAAAGAAATTTAACACAGGGAAGGCTCGAGGCGAAGGTTCTAGTCTGTACTGAGCTTCCAAGAAAGGTTCCCAGAACACCTCAAAGTTGGCCTGTTAAAGGAACTTCTATTTCTGCCAGAATCAGGAAGTCTTTCTCTAAGTGCTTGCCTAGGACGAGCACTTCTGTCAGGACCTAGGATGAGCTTTAGAACCAGCCCGCCACAGGTGCGATCACTGCCCGCACGACAGTACTGTCCTCCAGGTTCACCCGTGTTGTAGCATGTGACAGGACTGCCTTCTCTTTTAGGGCTGAATAATATTGCTTTGTGTGTAAATATACATTTTCTTTATCCAGGCATCTGTTGGGGGACATTTAGTTTGTTTCCACCTCTTGGCTGTTGTGAATAATGCTACAATGAATGTGGGTGTGCAAATATCTCCTTAAGATCCTGATTTCAGTTCTTTTGAATAAATACCCAGAAGTAGGACTGCTGGATCGTATGGTAGATCTATTTTTAATTTTTTGAGGAGCCTCCCTATTATTTTTCATAGCAGCTGTATCATTTTACATTCCCGCCCACAGTGCACAAGGGTTCCAGTTTTTCCACATCCTTGTCAACACTTGTTATTGTCTGTTGTTTTTTTTTAATAGTGATCATCCTAACAGATGCGAGGTGATAGCTCGTTTTGTAGTTTTGATTTGCATTTCCATGATAATTAGTGATGTTGAGCATCTTTTCACATGCCTCTTGGCCATTAAAAAGCAGTAGTTTTTACACACATCCTTGAACATACATAGAATATTCCAGGAAGATATTCACAAAGCTGATTAATGATGATTACCCCCAGGGAAAAGTACTGGGTGATGGAAGTGAAAGGGAGACTTTCTTTTCACTATGTATCCTCTCTATTCCTTTTGAAGATCATGTCAATTGCATTTATTACCTATTCAAATAAATAAATTGTTTTAGGGGCCAGCCCCATGGTTGAGTGGTTAAATTCACACGCTCTGCTTCAGCAGCCCAGGGTTTCACCAGTTCTGATCCTGGGCGTGGACATGGCACTGATCGTCAGGTCACGCTGAGGCAGTGTCCCACATGCCACAACTCGAAGGACCCGCAACTAAAATATGCAACTGTGTACTGGGGGGATTTGAGGAGAAAAAGCAGGAAAAAAAAGTTGTTTTAAAAAGTCCCCCTGGGGGCCGGCCCTGTGGCCAAGTGGTTAAGTTTGCGCGCTCCACTGCAGGCGGCCCAGTGTTTCATTGGTTCAAATCCTGGCCACAGACATGGTACCGCTCATCAAGCCACGCTGAGGCAGTGTCCCACATGCCACAACTGGAAGGACCCACAACTAAGAATATACAACTATGTCCCGGGGGGGCTTTGGGGATAAAAAGGAAAAAAGAAAATCTTAAAAAAAGAAAAAAAAGTCCCCCTGGTGATTCTCATGAGCTTGAGAAGCGTTGTACAGACAGGCAGGCACGCACCTTCCTCATGCTCCTCCTGGTGTCACAAGTTCACCTGCACCACTTTGCCCTTTGGTTTCTTAGAGGCATTCAGCGTACAGCAGTGTCCGGCCAGCCAGCAAAGGAGGGACGCAACGCCTGGATCTTCCAGACCTTCCCCTCTCAGGTAAATTACCTTCAACATGAAGTACTTTTGACTTATTTCTTTGTGGGGTTAACTTTTCTTCTTTTCTTTGCATGAAACTGAGGTTAGAAAAACAATCATTGGCGTTTATTCCAAACAATTTCAGGCTCTAAGTGTATGTGTTGTGGATATCAGACCCTAACTTCCTGCAAGCTGCACTTCTCAGTGTGCTCACGTTCCAGAGAAATGTTGAACTTTGGGGCTTTTTTCTTTGTTTTTTACTGAATCTCAAGAGAATATTGTATAATCTTTCAAAGTAACTATTTTAAGAAAAAATCTTATCTGATTCTGAAAATCTCTTGCTTCCAGAATTCTCAAAACATGCCTCCTTTGAGATGTCTTGGTCTTTGAGTGTGATCATCTTCCTGTTATTACACTGTATATTTTTTTTAAATTCACATCCTGATGGCGAAGCGGTGGTTGTAGTCCGCAGTCCTCACAGGGTCACGTTTTCACTCCTGCTGCGCTCCCACGCTGATGGCCGATGTGAAGTGGCAGTTAGGGGGGAGTCTGAGGAGCGGGACTGCTCGAGTCTGAGTCTTGGCGCTGCCACCTGCAGTCCCGCTTTGGCCCAGTTATTGCACCTCTCTGCCCTGTTGCCCTCGTCTGTAAAACGGAAATAATGCTGTCTACCTCATAGGATTGCATCAGGGGCTGAGTGGACACGGCCCCGTGTGGGGTGAGCGCTGTAGGAGTGTCGACTGTTGTCACCTTACCTGCTGTCTTCTTCCAGATCAGTTCACGTGCCAGAACAGAGAGCCGTGAGCAGAATGTTAAAGTTGTCCAGGATATATACCGTAGAAATTTATATATATGTGTCCACTGTCATGAGGAGACAAAAAAGATAAAGAGAACACTAAATGAATGATTTACTGATATCTGTAGGAAGAGAGAAAGCCAAAAGTCCGGATCACATAGATAGAAATCCTTTGTTTTTAAGTTCAGTCGTGGCTGCATGATGACATTTCAGTCAGTGATGTTTTGGTGAACGATGGACGGCACATACAATGGTGGTCCCCTAAGATTAGTACCAAGTAGCCTAGGTGCGTGGTAGGCTATTCCATCGGGTTTAGTGTAAGTCCACTCTGTGATTTCACACAACAACAAAATTGCCAGACGACACACTTCTCAGAACGTGCGCCCATTGTTAAGCGATGCCTGACTGTATGAAACAACATTTCTCTAACAGTGTGAATAAAAAGAATTCCCACTGTGCTTCTTTTAGATCATGGTCAAACATGGTCAGGTTTATTCCTAAAATAGTTGTTTCTGTGAGATAAGTTTCACCCTTGGATTGTAAATTCTTTCACTTTACCACCTTATTTTTTTCCATTCTGAATTTAGTTTTCTTTTTCATGGAGTTAATAAGGGTTTTAGACTTAGGTAAACATGGACATTAAGGATTTAAAGATTACATGTGAGAGATTCGGGCCCCAGAATTGTGAAGTGACTTACAGTGGCCACGCTGATTTTGAGTAGCTCTGGGATCAGCATAGGATTTTTCCTGATTCTTTCCACCTTGTTGCCTTTTGGTAATGAGGCTGGTGATTGCTCTGATTAGCAGCTTCATAAAGAAGCGATAAAGGTTTATATAGGGCTTCCAGTCATAATAATGACTTCCGGGAGGAAGGAAATGGTGACCAAAGACCAGAGGATAGTCTAAGGCCAGGAGAATAAGAAACGGGGTGAGTGAGTCCAGCAGAGCAGGTCGTTAGCCCTGTGCACACCACATGCCCCTTTACAGGAAACGGAGGGGAGGTCACAGCAGAGTATTGAGAACCTGCCTGATTTGACTTCTCCACACTTGCTCTGTCATGTAAAATAGGGAATAGCTTGATATGCATAGTGCTGTGTGCCTGGGCGAGGCTTTTTTTTCAAAACTATGGTAAAATACCTGTAACATAAAATTTACCATCTTAACCGTTTTTGAGTGTACTAAGTGGGCTTTTGGTCATAGTATTCGTGTCTGTTCCTCCAGCTTTAAAATCTCCTTTCGTGTAGAGAAACCATTCCTATAATTGACAAGATAGATACCGATGCTGAGCCCACAGCAGCTGTTCCCCTGAAGGAACTAGTTTGTTGTGAGCGCCCGCTCTGTGCTCCCACCTGGCACGTGTCTACCAAGATGATTCTACTTACTACTCAAAAAAGGATTGCCCTGTGAAAATGGCTTGCTTTCAGGCAAGCTTTGCCAACATTGAGGTCATCAGAAGCTGCAGAAACGGGATTTATGCACTGTTTTTGTTGTTCTCTGTAGTGATGTAAACACTGTTTTTCTCCGCTCTTCCGAGCTAATTGGCCTCACTCCCAGCTTTGCTACCCATAATTGGTGGCTATTAGCTGTACAAATATTGTTTTCTTCCATGACTGTTTATGGTGTCATAGGAAGGGACCCTGGCCTCGGCCTGGAGACTGGCCTGTTGTGTGGCACTGAGCAAGTCGCTTAATTCTCTGAGCTCCCATTTCCTGTAAATACAAACTGGACAATCTCGGAAATTTTCTCCCATTATTTATTTTGGTAATCCTTTAAGAAATATCATCTGGAGGATTTAGCCTGTTTCGGCTCAGACTACTATGACAGCAGAGAGGAGCCTTAAAAGAATTATTTTTACTTATTGTTAGTGAGCCAGGCCCTGTGATTGGAGTGGCTTTTTTTCTTGTAAAATAGTTATCATTCTTGGTTCCCAGCTTTTTGTCTGCTGCCACTTGTGACCTGATCATCACATTAGGCATCTTCTTCCCAGCTCTCTCTGTCAGATGCTTATCCATTAAAACGAAGTGCTTTACTTGGGAACAGGGCTGGCTTGTGGGCATGCGACCTGTGCAACTGCACAAGGCTCTCAGACAGGCCATGGTTCAATGCTGTACTGGTGCCATCTTGAAATTCATAATAATTTTTGGACAAGGGGCTAATTTGACATTAGTCCCTGTGAATTATATAGTCGGTCCTGCCTGCAGAATCCTTTCTTGAAAATACCATGTCGTTCTTTGCCTTTTTATTACTTGATCCAGAAACTATATCTATATATCTGTATCTATTATATATTTGTACTTGAGAATAAAACGAGAATTGTATTGTACTTGAGAACAAAGTGTGATGACCAGATTCTCTTCTTCAGGAATAGGTGATTATGTTGTTGTTCACACAGATCTTCTAAAGGGAAGGGCTGAGGACCTGAAACCGGACCCTTATCTCCGTAAGAGTCCCTCGCTCGAGTCACTGAGCAGACCCCCTTCTCTGGGCTTCGCGAGCACCAGACTGCTGAGCGCTTCCACTGGGGGCTTGAAACCACAAAGCAAACTCAGGTATCGCATTTTCGGCGGTGAGAAAGCAGAGCGGCACTGGCTGGAGCGTCGTACTCTTCCTTTTGTGTTATCCCCTCTGGTCGATTTACTCCTACAGATATTTCCTGCATGAAAATGATAAAGACACAGGACCTGCCTCCACCAGTCAGAGAAGAGGGCACTGGACAGTAGTACTGAGCAAATGAGAAAAAGGGCTGTGAGGAAAGAAGTAGAAGCAGAGTACTTACTTGGGTCTTGAGTTGGATCCGGAAGTCGAGGGAGGGGGGAAGTGTTTCTGCGGGGAGCCTGAGGGTGCCATGGTGAGGAGCTGTGGCAGAGTGTTCAGGGACCAGTGGGAGGTTTCGTGTGGATAGACGAGGCCGTGGGCTTTATGAGGACAGGGATCTGGCCTACGTTCACCAAGCGCTCAATCCATACTGGCTGGGGATGTGGGGAGATGGTTAGGATATCACCGCTGGAAAGGCAGGTTGAGCCACATTGCGAGGGGTCTTCATTCACAACGTGGTAAGAGGTTTGTACTTACTTTGGTAAAGCAGTGGGAACCACTAAATTTGTGGGATTTTTGTTTTTGATTTTGAGTAGTGGTACAGTAAACAGTGGCGTATAAAAAGGATTGGAGGGACATTTCTAAATTAGTGGTTAAAGAGGACTGATGGAGTGGGAGAGGGGAGGGAGAGGACAGAGACTGTCAGGGGTGGTCAGTAAGGGCCTGCCTTCGTTCTCATACCTCTGCCACCTCCTCCCTTTTCAGTGCTCCTGGTCACCCAGCCACAGCAAACCTGTTTCAACTCCTTCCTCACTGTCCATTCACTTCCCTGCTTCTCCATGTTGGGTCGGTCTTCTAAAACACTGAGTGCATCCTGTGCAGACCCTCTCAGAAACCTCTCATGACTCTTGTGTCCCCACTTCGGTCCGTACTCCCTATCCTGGTCTTCTAGCTTCTCCACAGCCTCGCCCTTCCACAGCTCACCTGCTAGGATGTCCCAGCCCTTCACTCCATCCAAGCCCATTTTACTCCCTGCCTTTGCAAAATAAGGCAAGCATTTCTAACTGCTTACAAGGTTCTGGCCTGAATTGTCTTCCTTTTGTCCTTTCACACTCCTAAATACTACTTCTCCTTCAGGGTCAAACCTTCTGTGAGGTTGTAGCTAACCACCCTGGTAACAGCGACACCCCCTTTCTCTGCCTTTGGTTTCTGACACTCGTTTGGGTATTTAAGTCACTGTTGCACGGTTTGCATGCCTTTGTCCCTGGTCAGGGTGTAATTTAGTGGAGAGTAAATACTTCACCTTACACTTTGGTGTCTTTCTCAGCCCTTATGTTGTGCTACACACATAGCATTTCACTCAGTACTTAGGTATAGGTAGATGGATGAATGTACTGAATTAGCTGCTTTAGGAATAATGACTTTTTAAGAAATATTATAACTACATTATGAGTATTATTATAAAAGTATTTTATAAAAGTCTGAATAAGTTAGCTCTTGTAATATCTTTGGGTGTAGCCTATATTTGGACCCAAATAGATGAAGTCATATCTTTTCAGAGGTTTAATTTAAGGCCCCAGATAATACGTATCAGTCTTGTTTATATGCCAGAGATTTAAATAATCAAAACAAGTTTTAAGGACCAGGGTTAGTGCTATTATGAAATTGCTCATTTCTTTTTGCCAGAAATGCATACAAAAAGGCCATGTGTATGTTTATATGCTATTTATAGTGTGCCTTTCATAGTGAAAGCTTAAATTCATGTAATTAATTTATTTGATTTTTATATTCATGTAATTGAGATAAACCAAGACAGGATAGAAATTACCTACTTTGGAAGTTCTCATCCTCTTCTTAATTTTTTTCTTTTTGGTCATCATATCTAGTTAACTTTATTTCTTTTTTCTTTTTTTTTTTTTGAGGAAGATTAGCCCTGAGCTAACTACTGCCAGTCCTCCTCTTTTTGCTGAGGAAGACTGGCTGGCCCTGAGCTCACATCCGTGCCCATGTTCCTCTACTTTATATGTGGGACGCCTACCACAGCATGGTGTGCCAAGTGGTGCCATGTCCGCGCCGGGGATCCGAACTGGCAAACCCCAGGCTGCAGAGAAATGAACGTGCGCACTTAACCACTGCACCACTGGGCCGACCCCCAACTTTATTTCTTAAATAAAACTATTTGGTAAATGTTTTAGTCATCCATTTGTATAGAAATTCTTTTCCAAGCCTTCATTTCAGTATTCTATAATTCGTCCGGCTTAGAAATTTGGCTCTGAGGGATGAAATAAGAGCAGACATAGTAAACACAGGCAAAGTCAATGTGGCTTCATAGTTAACAGCAGCTCTGACCACAGAGAATCATGGACTTGAGTTTACAAGTCTGCCAGACACAGGAAACACAATCTTCAAATTATGGAAGAAAAATGTTAATTCAAGTATGAACTCTTTCTTAAAATCTCTCTACCTTAATTCATATTGCTTAAGTCTAAATCATCCTATTCCTCTTTTAAAAATCATTTAAAAATATTTTTATTAAATATTATATAGAGACAAAATAATCATCATCATAAAATATGTATAGGGTATAAAGAGTAACAACACGATGAAGATTCGCCTGGATACCCACCTTCCAGTTTAAGGAAAAGAAAATCATTACCTTTGAAGTTTCCTACCAGCCCCTCCGTTTGCATTACCCCCGTCCTCCTCCAGGGTCACCACTGTGCTGAATTTTATGTATGCCTTTCTTTGCTTTTCTTTACAGTTTCATCACATACATTTGCAGCCCCAAAAATATAATCATCATATTTAAAATTTTGTATACAGTCGTACGTTGCTTAACAACGAGGATACGTTCTATGAAATGTCGTTCTGCAGTTTTGTTGTGCGAACATCACAGAGTGCACTTACTCAAACCCAGGTGCTACAGCCTTCTACGCACCTGGGCTAGATGGCACTGAGATTATGGGACCACAGCCATGTGTGCAGTCCGTTGTTGACTGACTTGTCGTTAGGCTGTGCGTGCCTGTTCATGGAAACATATTATATTATATATTTGTTCTTTTGTTTTCTTTTTTTAAAGTGCAAAATTGTTCCTGCTCTTCTTTCAAATTATCGCATCCATCTATAATTTGTTAGTTTTTCTTGCTATATAATAGCATTCCATTGTATGGATATGCCACAGTTTATCCGTTTTCCTGATGATGTACATTTGGTTGTTTCTAATTTTTGCTCTTGTAAAAAGTGCTGCATGAACAGCCTCATGTCTGTGCCCTGATGACACACGTGTAGGAGTGAACCCTATTACTCTTCGGCTGCCGCCTGCTGCAGCTGATGCCTCAAAGCTGCACCGCCCTTCGCTCGCTCTGTGCCTGCGCTCCTGTGGGAGGTGTCGGGAAGCCGAGGGCTGCTCCATATGCCGCAGGGGTACAATTCACCATGGAAGGACCTGTGTGATCTTCACTCCTGTTTTAGTGTTTGGCTGATTTTAGCTAGCATAAAAATTCACAGAGACGTCTATGGAAAATTGAGGATGGAGCACGTAAACTCTTGCTCTTGGAATGCCAAGGTATTAATTGGTAAAATCACTTCAACTTTGGCTAATCAGGTGTTCAGAATTGGGTTAATGTACCGCAAACTGAAGAGTATAGGTATCACTTTTGGAATGTGCAAAGCCCCTCTTTTGAGTTATTTTTACTGATTTTTGCCCTCATCACTGCTCCCATCACCCCTGTAAGCAGCCAGCCTGGTATAATACACTCTTCCAATCTACCTTTTATATGTTTTTTAGATACAGGTGTAGCATTGAACCGTGTAGAGTGTTTTTTCTGTAGATTTCTTATTTCAAATGACACTGTACTTAAGTAAATAAATAAAAGGCTAGATGGATGGAGCAACAGATATTAAAAAAACAAATAAATAAACCTCTCCCCGGACTTCTGATAGCCAAGTAGCACAATTTAATATTTCTTTCATACCACAAGACATAATAAAAATATATTGTTAATGTGACTAATTTGGTTGTTTCTGCAGAATCTCACTGAATAAACCTAGACTTTTGCTTTTCTAGTCTAGTTATTTATTTCTTGTTTATTCGAGGGCTCTGAAACTTAGCATCTGCTCTTTACTCTGTGCTCTTCTTTCTGACTAGTGTGGAAAGAAGAGATCCTCTGGCTGCCTTGGCCCGGGAATATGGAGGCTCCAAGCGCAATGCTCTGCTGAAGTGGTGCCAGAAGAAGACAGAAGGTTATGCGGTAAGTGACAGACAGCCACCTTCCACCCAGCTGTGTGTGGTAGTCCTGTGCCTGTACGTGTGCGTGTGTGCAAGTGCTTAGGTGGGCCCGTGCGTATAATTGTCATCTTTCCGTTCTCCTAGGCAGGGCTGCCAGGTAGGGTTTGCAATCTGTGCACAGCACAAAGGCACCCAGACAAAGAGGCCAGTGGGAAGCCAGTTTGCACTCATCCAGCAAAGCGTGTACCTGAATGCAGGCCTGCATCTCCTCCTGGAAGGGGTGCCTTTTCTCTGCTCAGAAGAGACATAAACCCCCTAAGCAGTGTGCCCAACAGGCTGCTTCAACCCAAGGAGTCAGCTTTTGCTAAATCATCCTCCTAAAGAGGGGCCTTCTTCTAATTTGCATAAAGCCCCCACGTAGATGGGCCTTCAGAATTTTTCTTTCTGTTACTTTAAGAGTTGTTTGCGTTTAGTTTAAGAGTTTCGGTTTACCTGGACAGTATTTGTTTTCTGTAAAGATTAGATGAGGAAGTAATACCTGATATAAGTTTAAGCTTTTTTGTTATGAAATATCATGCACAAAGATAAAAGTGCACCACATATAAAAATGATAGTTTCATGAAGTATCGTGAAGTGAAAACCTATGCAGTCACTACTCACTTCTGTAGAGTGTCACCAGTCCCCCCAGACCTTTCATATGACTTTGAATCATAGCCCCGCACTACTCCCAGAGAGAACTCTCGTCCTCACTTCTTTTCCTTACAGTATCTATAAAAGTGTGCATCCCCATGTGCCGTGGTAGTTTTGCTTGCATTTGAGCTTTATAGCAATGGAATAAAAACCTGTAATATTTGCATCTGGCTTTTGTCACACAGTATTTGTAAGATTTGTCCATGTTGCATGTAGCTATAGTTTGTTCATTTTCTTTACCATTTAGTAATCTGTTGTATGACCACACCATTATTTATGTATCCATTCTATTGTTGATGGACACTTGAGTTATTTCCAGTTTGGGGCTCTTATACATAGTGCTGGAATGTTCTTGCACATGTCTCTTGGAACACGGATGTACACGTTCCTGCTGGATCTACACCTAGAAATGGAGTTACTGGGCGTAGGGTAAGCCTGTGTTCAGTGTAGCAGATAGCACCAGGTTCCTGAAGCAGTCCTGCAGTTTACTCCCACCAGCACTTTACCAGAGACCTGGTTCTCTGTGTTCTCATCGGCACTCGGTATTGTCAGACTTTTTACTCCTGGTCGTGTGGATAAGTGTGTTTTAGTGTGTCGGTAGCTCACTGAGGCGTGATTTGCATTTCCCTGCTGGCTCACGAGGTTGACGCCTCTTCACGTGCTAATGGAACATCTGGATGGTCTCTCTGGGGAGGCGCCTGCTCAGGTTTTTCAACTGTTTTTAAAATCAGATTGTCTTTCTTTTCCTTGCTGCTTTCAGGAGTTCTTATATATTCTGGATACAGGTCCTCTGTCAAAGAGATGTATTAAAAACACCTTCTCCCAGTGTGGCTTCAGTTTTTATGCTTTTGTGGAACAAACTCAATTAAGTCTAATCTATCAGTCTTTTCTCTAATGGTTAGTGCATTTTGTTCTTGTTTAAGAATCTTTGTCTATTCCAAGGTCATGACAATGTTTTCCTGTTTCCTTCTAGAAGTTTGATTTTTTTTACCTTTCCCATGAAATAGACACCCTCTCTAAAATTGCCAACTCCCGCTCCAGTCTCCTTACTCAGGCCCAGCTTTCCCATACCTTTACCCCATTTTGCTGAAAGTTCTGAAGCTGCTGGCACCACAATGCTCCTTTCCCAACCTCAAACTTTTGAGGGTGGCGGAGACAGAGAAAGAAAGAAACAAGTAGGGGAACAGGGCCGCAGCCAAGAGCCAGCCCAGATAGTTAAGAAGCAGAGCTGGGGTTCTCTTTGTAATAACGCAGTCAGGTGTTCTAAAATCAGAATGACCCAAGGATATTAGTGTCTTGTATCTTTGATATTACCTTCTTTTTATATTCTGTTAAAAAAGGAAAAAGAAAAATTAGTCAGGTTAATGACCAATAATAGAGGATCCCACAGTACAGACTTGCTTCTGACCCATTGGGTTTTCTTTTAGCTGTTCTGTCCACCCTCTGCTTCATCCCACTCTAAAAGTTGAAACCATCCCGTAAAGGGAAGGCCATCTCAGTAACTACATACTCAGCATGTCAGCCATACTGCTGAGGAAATGGAAAAGAACAAGAAGTCAAGGAGAGAAGGCTGATTACAGGAGGTTTTAGGGTAAAGGAAATAGGAATGGTAACAGAAAATTGAAGATTAAAAGGAGGAGTCGGCCAGGAATGAAGTCTTGACAATGGCTGAGCCACATGTGGTCACTGATGGTTGACCGCACTGTCATTTCCCCACCTGATGGAAATGGAGAGAGGGAAGTGCTAGAATGGATGTGAAAAGACAATTAAAATTGTAATTGAAGAAGTTGGCCCTTTTAGATTAATGTTGTTGTGATTAGATTGCAGGAAGAATTATACAGTAAGATATTTCCAGTCCGAAGAGCAAGAATATTTCCTGCTGTAGTGATTTTGTTTTGTTTTGTGACGATCTTGAACTAGTTTTCAAAGCATCTTACAATTGATGAAACCAAAAACTCATTTTGCCTAAAGAGTACTTTTCATTCATTGTTAAATCCCTGTAAATTTAGAGAGAGATAAATATAAATCATATGTCTGATGTATTGACTTTCCACAAATACCCTCTGTCTAGACCTGCTTGTCTGAGACGCCTCTTAAGCCTCTAAAGCTTGTTCTCTCCAACCTAGGAAGCCAAAAGTAAATTGTAGAAAACTCAGATGGCTCATGGTCTTTTGAAAAGCAATAGCTTTGTGTATTTTGACTTAAAATAACTTTCTTTTTACCCCATCAAAGTATAGTGTGATAGTCAAAACTCTTCACGTGATAATTCAATGAATTTTTATCAAGGGGCCTATTTAGTGCCAGGTAATGTTTCAGGTGCTGGGAAATCAGCAGTGAATGAAACAGGCAAAATATCTGCTCTCATGGAACTTATATTCTCAAGGGAGTGGCAATAATTGCAATGAAAAAGTAGAATGTGTACTATATTAGAAGGTGGTCTGTACTATGGGAGAAATAAAGCAGGGAGGGAGGACTGAGGCTGTTGGATATGTGGATTTCAATGCAAAGGTTGGGGAGGTGACATTTGAGCCATGGCTCACCTCACCTGAAGAAGGTGAGAACGTTTGTGTTTTCACCAGGGTTTATCTCATACCAAGTACTAGGCTTGGGAAGGTGAGAGAGAGGAGCTGATCACTTTAGTGACTACATCAGTAGCAGTGTAAGTAATATGAGGTGGCCACTCCAGTGTTGCAGCACTGAAAAGTTAACCTAGCAGGCCGGGCCCACTCCTGAGCCCAGGTCCAGCTTTTTGGTGTCTTGAGGAAGCTGTGGAATTGAGATCGAGTGGAAGAACGTGAGCAAGCACTCGTTGTGGAGCTTGAAACGGCTCTCATCAGAGGAGACTCTTCCAGACGTTCTGCTCAACTCAGATTTCCTTGGATCTTTTTTGGAAAAAGTCAGACTTTCAGGAAGGCCCTGCAAATTACTCTCAGTCCCCAGGCTTGGTGCTTGTTACGCCTGCTAGCTATATCCCAAGCCAGGGGTGGACCTGACCCATGGAACCAACACAACTCCCTTTCTTAATCTGCTTTTAGTTCCTTCTTTGGGGTTATGACAGAGGTTTGCATCTCTAATGTGGTTACCAGTACGGGTTCTAAAGGGGCAGAAAGCCAAGGTGGTGGACATGATGGGCTGAATTCTGAAAATGACCTCCAGTGACCCTCGTCCTTGTATAGTTTCCTTCCTATGTATGGCAAAAGGGGGATTATTCAGGTAGACTGAACACAGGCAATTTTAAAAGCCTGAGCCATTTAAAAGGCGCAGGTTTTCTGTGAAGCCTAAGAAGGACTTGATGCACTGTTTGTTGGTGGTTTTGAAGGTGGAGGGGGCACATGAGAAGGAGCTGATAGCCAGCGAGGAAACCAGGACTTTCTAGCTTTAGTGTGCTGAGGTCCTACCCAGAAAACGCCATGGGGGGCGCCCTGCAGTTTTGGGGTGGACAGTGACAAGGTTGGTGCTACAGGATCCTCTGTCATTTCTCTCCCTGTCCTGACGCCCTCAGACCTCAGCTAGGCCAAGGAAGGTCCGTTTGCTTCGCCTTCTTCCTTTCCTTGGCTGAGGGACCCTAGCCTCAAACGTGTGGCATTCGGCCCTAAATCTCTGCAAAGACCTTGTACTTCCCAAGAAGTATGACTAAGTGCGGCCATACCACGCCTCCGCAGGTGGCACCTTGGCTGTGTTCCTAGGGCCCTGCTGTGCCTGGGACAGGAATCACCTGACACTAGTGGTTTATTTGGTTGAGGGCATAGGTGGGGATTACCGGCATCTCATCTACCTCTCAAAAGCTAGAATCCATAACTTTTAGCAAGTTTTAAAGGCCTCAGATTTCAAGTGTCAAATTAAAACATTAGAGCAGTATTGTAGTAGGAAGAAAGAAGTAGGTAAAGTGATACCCAAGGTTCACCTTACGGGAAACAGGATTTGAAAATAGTTTGGCTAGAAATGACCAAGTATTTTTATTGCTTTCAAAGTCACTGTATTAGTTTTCTATGCTGTGTAACAAGTAACCGCAGACTCAGTGACTTGAAACACCACCTGTTTATGAGCATGGAGTTCCTGTAGGTCAGAAGTCCAGCAGCACATGCTGGGTTCCCAGCTCAGGGTCCCACACGCTGAAATCCAGGTCTCAGCTGGGCAGCGTTCTTGCCCGAGGCTCCGAGGAAGAGTCCGCCTCCAGGGTCATTCCGGTTGGAGGTGGGTTCCTTGTGTTTGTAAGACTGAGGCTCCCATTTTCTTGCTGGGTGTGAGCCAGGGGTCCCACTCAGCACCTGAAGGCAGCTCTCAGGTCCTTTCAGCTTGGCCCCCTTCAACTTCAAACCCGGCGACGCATCC